ATAGAAGATTAAATGAGATAACATATATATAGGACTTTGTCCTATTCACTTAAAGAAAATAAAAACACTTTAAAATGATTTTCTTCTTATAAGTTAAGAAAAATAAAATCAAAGACAAAGAAAATAAACAATAGAAAAGTTTTTTTCACCAGGGTGACCCCTACACTAAGTACACAGTTTTTGTAGCTATTACAACTTTTTTCTGTTTTAAGTTCTGCAACCTTGAGCTCCGTATGCTTCACTGTGCTAATTAAAGAATTTCCAGCTACTTTTTAGCTGTTTTACTTAAAATTTTGGCTGTTTCAGCTATTTAATTACAAATTGCAACTTTTTTGTACTGTTATGCATTTTTTTTCTGCTCATTTTAAATTTCTTTCACTATCTGGGTGCCAATCACAACTTGTGGCTGCTACGTTTAGATDTTTTATACTAATTTTAGCTTTTTTGGCAATTTTAAGTTTAGATTGGCTTTTTTGCTTTTCTTTTGCTTTTTTCCTACTGTTTTTGCTTTTTTCCTGCAAATTTGTGGTCTATATGCTTCTTACAGAAGTTCTGTTCTATTCAGCTTTTTTAGCTTTTAGCCGTTTTCTGCTTTTTCATCTATATTTTTGTTCCTTTTTATTGTTTGTATTGTATTGTTGTGTGTATTGTTTTCTCCAAAGTTAGGCTTTTTTGCTGCTATTAACTATTTAAATTTGAACTTACATTAACAATTTCACTATTAAATACTCAGCTCAATGTCAGCAGTGTTCAGTTTATGTTTTCAGCAAGAAGCATTCACACTAGCATCTAGTTTAACTTTAAGTATCGACTGGTTTATTTATCATCTCATCCTAAGTTGTTTTAGTTACTCAAAGAGTTGGATGACTTTTTAGGTAGTATTTTCAGGTTTTATACAATACAAAACAATTGTGCGTAATGTAATTAAAATACATTGTTGCAAGTAAAAGTTTAGAACAGAAACCAGAAGCTAGATGATGAAAACATCAGTTGATCACCAATCAAAATTGCATGAGGATAATTACCAATAAAATAGACATATGATTGAGATCAAATGTTATTTAAAAACATAAAAATGTTTAATTCTAGCTTTTTGCTATATGGTACAGAAAGGAAAAACCAGAGGCATGGGACTCGGGAAGTCCAGTTTCTCTGATATATAAAACCCCTGCTAATGTGTTCTGGTCTTATGTGACTAATTTACACTTTTAATCTGATCACTTAAAATTATTTCATTTTTTTAAACGTGTACCTGTCCCAGTACGAATTCATCAACTGTGCATGCATCGGCCCACCCACAATTCTCTGAATAACTTCCAACCAAGTTACATACAGTATAAAGTGTGGAGGAACAATGGTGTTGTCTGGATGTGTGTAAGGTAGGTGCACCATTCAAGCATCTGGCTTTGAACGAAACGTTTAACTGTGAAACAATGACAAAACGTTGTTCATGCTGTTCCAGCATTTGAAATGTTAATTTTAGCGTTTTCTTTGAATTTCAGTATTTATTACTAATGCTCACTGATGCCTTTTTATATGGGAACTCTGATGATTATTTTCATGATGTGCGTAAGTTTTTATATATGTTGGCACTGTTTAAATCATTTGTTCCAAATTATTTATGCTTTGAGAGAATGCAATGGGAAATGTTCAAAGTTATCAATACGTAAAAATGTGTCACATATATATATAT